CCCCCGCCCCCCCCCCCCCCCCCCCCCCCCTTATCAATGGAACTCATTAACATAAGGCCTAGGCCCAACCAACAGACCATCTTCAGGTCAGGCCTAACTTACCTTTTTTTGTTCAAAAGAAACTCAATTCAGAAAAAAATAATACTGGGACAAAATTCACACTCCCAAAAGTTAGATGGAGTGATCTCCACAATCCTGGTGAGATGGAGCTTCAAATTTGCTGAAGCGATTATGTGTTGAGAGAGGAAGAAGTATGCTAAATTTCATTCCTGTTGATTCTCTCAAAGAGGAATACGAGACTGTTGAATTTTGTCATCGGAAGGGGTTGAAGAAAGGTAATACCGGTACCACGCTTGTTGATAAATTTTCCCAGAAAATGGGTGGGATGATTTTGAAACAAAGGAGTTTTTGCTGTGATTATTTTCATTACAAGTCAGTCAGTAAAAGTGATGGCAACACTCCTGATCAAGTGACCCATTCAGAAAACTGATGGGATGTGGGATGGGGAAGGAGTGAGAGCACACAAATACACAAGGGTTCATTAGTACTTTTCACCCTGATGATTTAAGCTTGCTATGGGCATAGGACCTCATATGATTGGCTTTATGTCTTGAAGTATTTCAGAAGACTGGCAAAATCTGTATATGTATTGTATGGCTTCAATTTCAGCTTGTATCGTTCCTTCCATATAAGATAAGCTGGAGGAGGGGGGGAGGGAGGGTAGCAGAGGGACAAATGAAGCTACTGACTGCAATCTGGAGGGTGTGAGGAAGAAGGCAGCTATTTTCAGTTGCCATGCTTTTCTTCTATGACCAACTGGCAAGAACTCCCCATTTTCTGGACCACAGACACAGTCATGACATTTATGCTGTCTGATAACCAGTGATAATTTTATTTAAGCACAATGCAGGAATGGAAAGAACTGAAAAGGAAGTTGATTTAATCTGGCTTCATATTTGGGCTAGATAAATTATTAACCTTATGGTGAAAGTAGTGTGAGGGTTTCACATGCTCCTCAGACATGTTAGAGCCTGTTTCACTTTTCATGTTGGAACTTCTCTCCAAAATCTACACCCTGTTTTCTGCTGATGTCACAGGAAGCAGTACTAATGTCCCCATGATTTATCATCATGGGCAGAGAATTGTTTGGTTTCAGACATTAGAGACAGCAGGGTTTTTCAGTAGCTGGCTGACAATCCCAAAACCTGCCTACCTGGCTGCAGTAACTTACTATATCCTGTGAAGAGTTGCCCTGAATGTGTAAGCCTACTGTGAGTAGGAGAGGTTTGGGATGTACATGGATTTAATGAATGGCATGCATGAAAGGGGGAAATGAGATGGAGTTCACAATTCCATCATCTCTGGGTGAGTAGAACCTTGCATGTTGGTGGTAATTTATACTAAGATTACTCATGATAAAAAAAGCATACCATATACAGGGTGGGCCATAAAAAAGTAAACATTTAAAAAACTCATAACATGTTAATTATTGCAGACAGAAGCAAACAGAAAATTGCATTTCCTGCAGAATTGGGAAATTGCATTTCCCAAAGTTTTTGTACCATCCACACAAGGTTTTCAAATTGTACACTTCTCTACATATTTGCAAATGCTCAAAAGGAGTTATGCATAACTTTCTGCAGTGTTTATTTTGTGATACTAGCAACAGTTTGGATGATAAAGTCTTTCAGATGAGAAACTGACTTAGGATTTCTTATTGAACACTTTAAGGATGGTACTTTTAGAAGTGCCCAAGAAAAACCCTAAATCAGTTGCTGAACTGAAGAACTTAATCACCCAAACTGTTGATAGTGTTATGGAAGAAACATTCCAGAAAGAAATGGAAAGCTTTTTAGGGGCATTTGCAACTATGTAGAGAAAAGGGGTGCACAATTTGAAAACCTTGTGTGGACAGGACAAAACCTTTGAGAGTTTCTGCGGGAAATGTAATTTCCTGTTTGTTTCTATCAGCAATAACTAGTGTTATTCATTTTTTTTTAATGTTTTCCTTTTTGTGGCCCACCCAGTCAGCGACTTGTGTTTTGGGAGGGGAGATTTACGTAGGCTTAGCAAAAAGTTATCAGAATGGCCTTCTTAGGAGTGAACAATGTATGGAAGTTAGGTTGCAGTATGATTCCCTTTTAATTGTTCCCTTCTTTCAGTACACTTCTCCCAACGTTTACTAAGAGCTTGGAACACTGACTGCAACCCATTTACGGCAACATTTTCAACATGTTCATTGCAGCTGACTGGAGAGTTTGTTTCACAGAAACAGTAGCCTTTCAGAACGAACTTCTTTCAGAGAAGCAGCATGATCAAGGGGGTCGAGGAGGGGGGGGGGGGGTAAAATCTTGCGCATGTGATGACGTCAGCGAAACGTTCCGTTTTAAAAGCGGGCGCTTTGGCCTTGACGATCTCATTACCTCGCTGCTTAAGGCCAAGACAGGCCGCACACACTTTCTCATGACGCTCACAGCCTTAATACATCTACTCTCGTTTGTCAGAGCCACCTAGGCAGCATCGTACATGCATTGCCGACCCGTTCGTTGATTTCGATTACATTCCTAGGTTCCTTTATTTCATTCACTTTCTTAGCAGCAGTTGATATGAAGGACAGTGGCAAGAATTGCATTGTCACATTCTCAAAGAATATTTATAGGAACTCGGCAGGCACGGAATATTTCCTTCCATGAATTTCCAAAATTTCTAGACAGAGGAAATGAATGGCTTCAATCGCTTGGAAGAAAATCTATCCCCAGATATGCTTTAGCGTGCTCGCATCCTATCTCCTTAGATTCCTATCATGATCGAAACGCTATCAGGCGCTTGAAAAAAGATGCAGTTCCAACAGAGAATTTGGCCTTAGATCCAACGCAACCTCCCACGTTCACGTTCGGCGTCTAACGTAAAATGTTGACCATTTGACGGTCTGACGATTCATTTCAACCAATGAAGGACCAGCAGGTCTCCTCGTTTCTTGAGAATGGAAACAATGACGTGAAATCATCGTACCGGATGACCATGAATACCCATTGCTTAGATGTAGAAACCCTTCGTCAGAAGCTGAAGAGAGCACAGGAGACAATGAAGCTGAGATAAATTATTTTCTCTCGGGTGATATAAAAAAAAAGGAACGGTCGTCGAAGATCTCCAAGGAAATGTGATTCAAAAACTCGTTCACAAAGGAGTATTCACAAGTACTCATTGTGAAATAAGTTATCAACTGCAAGTACCCGCATATCCATCCATTGGCTATTGGGATCTTCGTAACTACCAGAACTCTTCTAGACTTCTAGAGATACCTGAACAGGGAAAATGCAGTGAGGATGAACCGGAATCGTTAGGAATTGAAATGAAAAAATTGAGAATAATGGTGACGGAAAAAGGATTTTCGTGACAGCTCCGATCTAATGTGAGATGGCCGGACATTGAAATCACAAAACTCATCCCAAAAATAAAGAGATTTTCAGTGTAGAGGACATTTTCACAACTTTCGGATTTCGCGATGTCATGGTCTTGGTTTCCCATGCCAAAGGCGCGCTTCGCTACCATGTCTACTTACATAGCATACCCAAAAGTGCGAGGCGTTCCACCCCCCAAAACGCGTTTCTGCGCATATCTAAGAGGGGTCTCTCCGACCCCCCTTGAGCATGATCCTTCTAATTCTTGTGTGAGTTGTATAAGCGATTTCGTGAAGGAAGAAATCTGCTGAAGATAACGAACTTAGTGGATGGCGATGGAAAAGCTGTAATGAGAAACTGTGCAGGCTCTTTCTGAGCTTGTCCGCAGAGAATGTCAGTATTCACAGTACCATAATACTGTGGGCAGTAGGGTTGGCTCTTGTGTCGTGTGAGTGACTTGTTACTTAACAATTAACCTTCTAATAAGAAATTCCAGTCGCATAATTTATTTTATTTATATAAAAAAAACGTTACGTGAAATGTGTGCTCCCCCGTAACAAATCGTAACATTTTGATCCCACCCCTTGCATTACGTAATTTGTGAACGGCCCCTTACCATGGGTGCTCCCCCGTTATAGCGACACCCACGCCAGCCGCCATCCGCCAACACCTTCACTTGCACAAACGTGTCTATTCTACGTAAGTCTTACTCGATATTGCGCCAAGCAGCATATTGTACATGCCGCGTTAATTGCACCGCGTATAAATTTAAGGGTGCCAGCTGCTCCCTTCGATCTCTTGATAGATTGTGAGGGATATCTTAGCGTTAGAATGGACCTCCAGCAGGGCCGGATTAAGAAGTTGAGATGCCCGGCGCAAGTGAATTCCTGGGGCTCCCCCCCCCCCCCCCCACCGCTACTTCACGCAAATACAATAATTTTTTTTTAACTTAACGTTTTTAATTTCCTCCGGGGGCCCCTGGAAGAGTGGGGCCCAGAGCAACTGCCCCCTTTCCCCCCCCCCCCCCCCCTTAATCCGGCCCTGACCTCCAGGCATTAGAGGGGGGCGTATAGGGTCGCCGAATCCGGCCTAATCCTGTCTCTTCTTTTGGGAGATGGAAACGTTTCATTCAGATTGTACGCAGCTTCTCGACCCGACAGCTCACGTTTATTGACTATTCAGTGATGGGGAGAAGGACGGTTTTAAGAGTAAAGGAAAAGTTGGAAGTGAGCCGTTAGAAGGAGGCGTATGTGGTCGAAGGTCAGAGAAACCTTGTGAACAATTTTTGTGTTTTGGGGCAATAATGTGAGCAGACGGTGCATAGGAATTATACTCATTAAAATAAGAAATCATTGGATTTAATCATGGATGGGAAAGATAGAATTATTTTTCAAAGCTGTGTAGTTGGTGTATTCTGCGTGGATTAAAGTGAAAGTTTGTGCATATTTTATATAAAGAAGAAAAAGTTTATCAATCTTAAAGCCATGCGTTTCGATTTAGCGCCACCCTCGTTATAACGCCAAATCTGCTGAGACCAACAGTGGCGGTATATCGAGAGTTGACTACTGAAAATTCTGTAACCTAACCCTCTAGCAACCAATGAGGTTATATCATACCATTGGTTGCCATCAAAGTTTCTCTTTTCTCAATTTTTAAAGACTAGCATGAATTCATTGTGTGAATCAAGTGTGAGCCAATTCTCTGCACATACATTTCTAGCCAATTCATGTCATAGCCAATGTAATGTGTTCAATGTAGTGGTGTTCAATATATGGCCTTTCCAAAAAAAGATTGTGTTGCTTTGTTTTCTAAAGTGAATTCCTGAAAAGTTATCAGTTTTATTTTTTTATATGTAGATGCGTTCCCTACTGAAATTGAAATCAATTACCATAGGTCCAGTGTCTGGAGCCACCAACCCTCTTCTATGTGAAGGCTCAGGGCTGTTTTCCAGTTGTTGGAGAAAGTTACCAAAGACATTTTCATATAGACCCTATACCATTTTGAGTGGGTTTTCTCACAGTCGCCTTAAAGGGCCTCCACTATTGGCAGGAGGCACTTATACATGCCTGTCTTCATCTTCCTATTCAATACATTTGAGCCAAACTTTTAGACAACCTGAAACACAGTATCTTGACATTGATGCAAAGGCATCCCGAAGGGTGGCATACATTAATGTCACAAAGCAAGAGGCCCCACTTACAATTGTGTATTTGCCTGGATTCTTTGGTCTTAAGACAGGAACCAAGAGTGATGCTATTCGATTCTTCTGCAACCAGCATGGATATAACTTCTTGAGGTGAGTTCCTGTTGGCCACATTTTACTATCTATCTGTACCTGTAATGTTGAAATGCTAGTGGGTTTTTTTTATTTGCTGACAGCTCTTATGAGTAAGGTATTTGGACATGTTATATAAAGAATGAGGGCAAAACATGTATGCTGGTATTTGTGTTTGAGAATGTGACAATGTTCTATCATATAATTACTAGTATGCACAAGAAAAGGGAACTGCATTTGTGATTGAATCAAATGGAAGAAATGGGGTAATACCGAGAATAAATTATTCTGTTTGACAATGACTTGTAAAGTGGAAGCCCATGGATGGCAGAGTTGATGCCATATGACATATGTTTCAGCTGTTTGTCTGCACCCATTGGCTCCCTGAAAAATCCTCTGAACCTATGTACATTTTTGTGGTCTAATAATTGGGTATCAAACACATCTTGTTTTAGTCTTGACCAAGTGAGCATGTCTGATGTGTCTAACAGCACTTCCTATATTGAAATAGTTAAGGACTCTGATGCCAACCGTACATTTTTTTTTTTTAACCAGTACTTGTGTCATTCATGATTTGCTACTATGGCTTCAAAGGAAGTGTGCTTGTCAGCATTCCATGACTGACAGAACTGCCATACACTTTGTGCCATCCATGAGTGACATGGCAATCAATGTGTTAAGTAGAGGAAACACACATTGAATTTTAGTAGCATCCTTTCACATGATAATATTCTGTCAATTAGGTAATGTTCTTAGTTGTTTGGAATTCATACCTAGGTGTAGTTCTGAAGAAATGCATATGATTCAGTGTCATTCCATAGCTTTGAGTATGAGGGGATTGGCGAATCTACTCCAGAGTACAGACATGTTCGATTTCAAGATTGGGTTGAGGATGTATCTGCTGTCTTGAAGACACTCACATCTGGGACACTCATTCTGGTTGGTTCCAGCATGGGATCCTGGGTAAGTAGCCATCAACCAATGCCCATGGGTTGTTTTCAAGTGTGATACAAGTATGTCCCATTCCAGACAGTTTTATACAGCAGAGAGGGAGAAAGCAGAAAGTTTTGTTGTAAAGTCTTTTGTCCCATACTATTAAAGTAGTTGAAGAATTGGCTCCCTCTCTGCACCATGCAAAGTACACTAGTTCTACATACAAATTTATCCAAATAAATTCCAAGTTAACCTGAGTACTTGAGGCAAAGAACTTCTTGTATTTTGATTACAGGGTGACTCAAAAGTCCTTGGATGCCTTTAATCAAGTGCAGCATTCCCTGATGAAGACCAATTCAATTTCTGATTTGACCACTGAAAAGATCACCAAAAAATGAACCATCTGTTTTTATTTAAAAAAATATATCTCCATCTGAGGCAATAACCTGCTTCAGACGTTTTTGGGAAATCATGTATGGTTCTTCGCAACTGATCAACCGACAATTCATTACATGCCTTCAGCAGATCAAGCTTCAAGCTACTGACACTCTTGTGTGACTTGGAGCAGACCTTGGCCGCCATGTATGACCACACACTGTAATCCAATAGATTCAAATCAAGACTACTAGCAGGTCATTCTTCTGGGGAAATCAAGTCTACAAAGTGAGTTCTGCAGAAGTCGATGGTGGATTTTGCCTTGTGAGCAGGTGCTGAGTCCTGCTGGAATGTCCAAGGTTGGGATTTGAGATGTTCCTGAGTCCAGGGGAGTAGCACCTTCTTCAATACACATTCCTGATAGTAGCTGGCATTGATCTTGGTCTGAGTCTGCACAAAATGCAGGGGAGTTTTGCCAGAAGCACAAACACCACCCCACACAATCACACTACCTGGTATTTGAACTCGACGGACATATCACTGGTGAGGCTTGAAAGAGGAAATCTTTTTACCGCAGAGGCGATTGTTTTGTGGGTTGTAAGCTTGCTCTATGGTGAACATTTTTTCGTCAGAAAAAAACAATCCCTTGGAGTGAGGACTGTTTAAACCGCTTGAGCAACTGACGGGCCTTTTGAACTCGTTTCTTCTTGTTGATCTCTGTAAGCAGCTGCACCTTTTGTTTTTTAAAGGGCTTTATGCAGAGCTTTCCCCTGATGTGTCTTCGCAAGGTCTCTTTGTCCACTCCAAAGGCTTGCGCAAGCTTTCTTCCGGAACGCTCTGGATTTCGGTATAGCAGTTGCCTGACTCGTTTCTGGAGCTTTTTATCCTGGAACACTGAAGGACGTCCACTTTTTGGCGATCTGCTGCTGATACAAGCTCATTGTATCGCCAAATAATGCTGTGGACAGTAGATCGTGGGGTTTTGGTGAGCTTGGAGATCCTGCTTGCTGGAAGACCACTCTGGTAGTGAGAAATCACTGATTCTCTTTGATGTTTGGGAGTCATATGAAGGGCTTTCGACCTGAAACTTGGTTGGCAAATAGATCTGTAGTAGATGTTGCTTCATTAAAAAAATCACTTGGCTATCACATGTCCAGCGGTTTTTACAATAGGTGTCCAAGGACTTTTGTCATCTGTAGTCTGTAGTTTTACTTTTCCTGTATTTACTCATGTTGACTACAAAGATGTTCACATATTAAGAGATATTTACTGTAAAATATTAATGAACAAATTTCACTTGTTTTTTGAGGGGGGGGGCCTGCTTGCTGGAAGACCCATGCTGGAATGCCCATGGCATTCATTCACTCCCCCCCCCCCCATTACCCTGTGCGTTAATTTTCAGGGAATTCCAACCCCATATTATTCACAACTTTCGAATTTGAAATAGCCACGCTTTGAATCGATGATAAGGAATGGAACGCGTTCCGTCATGAGGGAACTCTCAATCGCCTGCATAAGAATGTTCAGCGAACTCCCATAGCATTCGAGTGAGACTCGTAGCTTTGGACGCCGAGGTATTAGGTGACAAATTGGCTTCTAGCTCAATTGCCAATTAAGTTTTCTTTCGAGTTCTGGCGAATACGCAGAAACCTCGAGTTCTAATGCTCAGAAACGTAAACGGGCTGCGGGCCCGCCCGGCCATCTATTATTCGGGTCGTGTTCAGAAAAATCTACCCATGCTGACTTCCGGCAGACAGACAAACAAATGTCGGTTATTATTGCTGCATTATACTGTATTACTATAACATACATAGTACAGGATGACAAAAAGTTCGGACTCTATTTCTTTAAATTTATTTTTCGTGCGTTTATTTAAAGTTTCATTCTAACAATACCACTCATTTTTTCCGTCTAATTCTGTTCTTCATGCCTATTTCAAATCTTTATTAATATCTCTGTTGCCGAACGAGCCTGCAACTCATCACTCATTCTACAGGTATGACCAAGCTTCCCAAACAACATCTTAAATCTTCCTACTCAAACAATCATCACAATAGAGATATATCATATGACAGCACATATTATAACAATCCCTCTTCCTAAGTCAAAGAACAAATTTTAATATTAACAACTAAACATTTTCAAAATGTCCTCCATTCGCTTCATTACACGACTTCAGACGTTTCGGAAAGTTGTCAACTCTGGCACGCAAAGTTTCCATCAACAAACTGGTCCAAGCTGCTTTCAGACTGCGTTAAAGTGCGGCTATGTTGTTGTGAGGCTTTGCACAGGCTTTTGCTTCCAAATTGAGTAATCCACGGGGTTGAGACTGGAGAATACGGAGGCCATTCCGTTGACTTGATAAACTCTGTAAAATTGTTCTCGCACCATTGTTGTGTGTTGTTTGCCCTGTGAGAAGGTGCTAGATCTTGCTGGAACGTCCACTGTCGATCGCTGAAATGACCTCGAGCCCAAAGAATCATTTTCACCAACACCGATTGCCGATAAACTTACTGATTCACGCCGTCGTCAATGAATATCAAAGGAGTCTTGCCGTTCGATGTTATTCCAGCCCAGACCATGACCATGACCGAGAGAGGCTTCTGAAAACGGGAAACCAGCCTGCTTTCCCCGGGTGATTCCGTCGCCCATATCCTGTCGTTCTGACGATGGTGATGCGGCTCGATTGGGAAGTATTTTTAATCGATGAAAAGGGTGGAACGATGTTATCCATTTGCGAAGCGTTGCTACAGTATTTGGCATCTAGAGAGACTTTTAGCTTTCATTTGATCCGTAAGGAAGTGAGCTTTTTGCATCTTATAGGGCTTCAATCCAATATCTTTTGCCGCAGTTTCACGAATGACTCCTATTTTCTATCCTTCTTGTTTGGCTATCCTTATTGAAACTCTTGGATTTCTTTTGACTCAATCTTTGATAAGATTGCGAACGCAAGACGTAGTAGCAGTACGTGGCCGACCACTTCGAGGGCGATCCAGTGTATTTCCTTGTTCTTCGTAGCGTTTTTTTTTTAATTCTGTACACAGTTTTTCTCAGAATTCCGAGCAATTTAACAATCTTGTATCCAGTTTTTCTCAGAATTCCGAGCAATTTAACAATCTTGTATCCAGTTTTTCCCGCTTCTAACAATCCAATTATAAGCTGCTCGTTAAACATCCATGGCTGTAGTTTTTATAGAGATATTAATGAAAGTTTGAAATAGATATGATAGAGCAGAATTAGACGTAAAAATGAGCCACTGCAAAATTTCAAATAAACGCGCGAAAAAAAATTATTAAAAATAGTGTCTGAACTTTTTTGTCACCCTGGCTATGCTAGCCTTAAATTTCGCAACCATTTCCTGACGTGTGCATGCTACAAGACGTGGCGTCCTTACTGGTTGGAACACTTAGATTTCCTCGACGTACCCCTTACTTTGGGACATTCCAAAGCAACTGCTCATCAAAATGCCTCAATTCAAGGGGAAAGGAAGGCGCAAACTTTCCAATAAGAATTTCTTTTGTCGTGAAATCAGGGGGAAATGGGAAAACCGGGTATGAGCATGATCCCTTGCTTCCGAAGTTGGTTGTGCGTTTCTCGCCATTGCGCTTGGAAAACTGGTACTGATTCAACATGTCACAGCGCATGTGCGCGTTCGCTCAGCTAAAAATCCGGGTGTCACATCATTGTTGACATCACAAAAGCGTGTACGCAGGGACCGTCATCTGCTAGAAAGCAGTCGTGTTATCAAATAGCCGTAATACCGACCGATTTCGTTCAAGTCAAGATAGCTAACTTGTCATATCAGATCACGGGAACTTCGATTTAACACTTACTCCACGTGGGAATTTCATCACGTGCATGTCATCGGTTTTTCTACAGTACACGTTTCACTAGTGAAGGCTGTCAGATATCGATGAGAGGTAAGGGTGATAAGTTAAAGGTAGAGGCGTGCCGATCGATGGAAAAGTGTGCCCCCCGCCCCCCCCCCTCGCTTCTTTGTTCCAACCCAATGTGCTCAGCACTCCTTCCCCCTTCTTTAGGAGAAAATGAACTTTGAACCCCTAAGACCCAAAAAGTGAATCTCTCGTTACGCCACTGTGCAACCGAGAAGAAAGAGAGGTTGAGCGGTCATTCGATCGAGGCTGCCCCATTAGGCGAGAATTCTCGGTTTTCCATTGTTGGAAAATGAGCGGAGGAAGAAGCGGTTGGTGGGATTATGTATCCCTATTTTTCTATCGCCCTTCTTGCCAATATTCCGCCTCCCTGGTCGTACGAGACGAGGAAGTGAGGTGCGTGCAGGGCATCCTGTAGCCTCTTTAGCGCCCGCTCAAAAAAGCAGTGAAGAAAGAGATAGGAAAAGCCTCTTCCCATATTACGTCTATGGCAGAAGAATTTGCTTCACGGAGCAGTATTTCAAGACTATACCAGCTATTATATTTCAAGTTTCTTAATTAAAAAGTAATCAAATCCTTCTCGATTAAAAGGGTTGAGTCGTGTTTTGTTTGGAAAGTTTTTGGATTAAGTCTGCCTTTCTAGGAATTGGAGTGAATAATTAATTTCGCGCAAATGTCAATTTCATACTTCATTTTTATGTTTATTTCGCTCCATGAAGGGATCATTGAAAATCTAAGTCACACGAAACACAGTAATATCTCCCGTACTTTCCCTCACCTCGTCTCCATAAATGAAGCCATGCAGGCATGGAACTGCACAAAATTCGCAAAACTCTCGTTTTCAAAACAAACGGCTTGGGGATGTGCTTCTTGGCATGCTTTACATGAAAATTTCATTGGAATAGAGGAATTTACTTTAATCTATGAACACTAGTTTCAAACTATTAAACCATGCTTCAAGAGCACGTTGAAGGGGTGGTCAAGTCGCGCGCCAGTGAACGTGTAATCTTAAACTAGACCCGAGGAAAAGGGGCTATCCCAGCAGGTTCTCAAACTTTTTATGTTTGAGCCCCCCACCCCCTCATATCGATCCTTGCTTGGCTTCGCGTCCCTTTTCCTTCTGAAAAGAGTACCTGG